CCAACTTTATATTATCTCCAAGATATTTATTTGATATAAAAAATTATTTATATTTTTTTTCTTTTCCAAGATATACAAGGATCAGGTCATAAGATAGTAAAATTATTGTTAAAAAGTAAGGTAGAATGCCATAAAACTGGTAGAAACATATTTTAGAAGATATCTCCAATAAATGTAAGCATAAAATTTTTTTTAAAGCTTAATAAAAGAAGAAAAACCAAAAAGCTTTATTTTATTTAAATATTGGACTTTTCTTTTATTGAAAAAAAAATCATGACCACTACTTCTCTTTCACATCAAGAAATGAAAATTTTTTGGATCAAAAAGTGTATTTATTTTATTTGAAAAGTTTACAAAGCAAAAATGTTATTTTGTTATATAAAATGGTAAATTTCAAGGGTGGACAGTTTTGGTTTTGTGAAATATTAGTGTGTAACATTCTTGTTGAACCTCCCATACCTCTAGACATAACCCATTGGGGTGTTACACATCAGTATAAACACAAACATAGTTGAGCGCACACAAAAAATTATATGTGAGGATTTTTATTGGGAAAATGCAGATCAATTTAACAAATAATAAAATAAAATAATAATAAATACAGTCAGACCTCCATAAATGCACCTCCTTGAGACCAAGGGACAGCATGCATTTATGGAGGGTGTGCATTTATGGAGAGAAGTAATTTCATTTGTCACATATGATATGCAATATTTTAAATACAGTAGTTCTTTTTGAAGAATTTACTTTTTTTATATTGATATATCTTTCAATTTTATTAACCAATTTTATTTTATTTGTTTGTAGCGTTATTTTTCTTGCTGAAATAAAAATGAATGTACAGTTTCAAGACCTTTAATGCTTCCTCAAGGCTTAATGTCATTAAGGATACCGGCTGCAACTTTTGATGATGGTTGCTACCACCTTTGCGTCATATAAAAATGATTGCAACCACTGGTTGCAACCATCTTTACGACCATTTTGTTTCCTTTTTTGGATTGCAACATGGAACACTAAATGTCATCTTCTCAAAATTGCCAGCAGGTACATTCATTTTATTTTTATATATTCCTACAAGTTCTTTAATTATTTTATATCATCTGGAACCTCACAGGCAATATTTTCTTCAGGGATATTCAAAAGTTCATCAACTTGCATTTTATCAAATAGGATGAAAGTTCATTTAGTGACACAAAGTCATGAAATTGGACTGCATTACATATTGGAAATTATCCAATCCAATCAAAAAATTTTGCCGATGATTTCTAAATTCATCCTAGTTACATGATGAATTTTATACGTTAGTCACATGGGGTGCATTTATGGAAGGAGTTTTCATATGAGTGGACTGAAAAAATACCATGCAGTGCAGAGTATGGAGGGTGTGCATTTATGGAGGGTGCATTTATAGAGGTCTAACTGTAATAAATTTTCTTATAAACATTCTCCTAAAATTGCTTTTGTTGCTTCTTCTCCAAAATTCTTCTCATCACTACTCTCATACTTGGGTAAATAAATAAAAAAGCATATATAATAAGTATTCATTGTATTCATTGTGCTAATAATTAAAAGTTTAAAAACATGATTCAAATCACAATCAACAAATCTTTATTGATAATTGATTTTCACTTCAAACAAATTACAAAAACATTGAATTTATATTCACAATAAGAACCTGAGCTATTGCGAAAAATGTTTCAACATGATTATCTTTCTAAAAATGGATTTAATATATAATCTAATAAATCACTATGAAAATTTCAAAACCTACAGTTATAAAAATAGTATTAAATAAAAGCTTGAAAATTACACTTTCACTTAATGGCTGTAGATTTTTAAAAATTTTAATAAAAAAATTTTTTTTTTGCATATAACTTTTTTTTTATAAACAAAAATTTAAAAAAATAAAGCCATTATCATTATTTAGTACCTATATACTAATTTCAAATGGAGTTTTATTTGATAAATAATGAGGAGATAGAGTTTGAATTTTGTTTATTTTTTATATTAAGATTTTTACATCTATTGATCAACAAAAAAAATCCGCATATATGATTTTTTATATGTGTGCTCAACTATGTTTGTGTTTATGCTGATATGCAACACCCCAATCATTATCATACCTATCATTTCCATTTTTAGAATGTGTTAGTAATCAATATTTATTGGATAAAATCTTGTAAAAGTCACATTATCTCTACTACTACTCTAAGTATATAGTATAAATAATTTTGAAATTTCCTTCAGTGTAAGTAAATCTTCTTGGTAACAATAAAATTACAACTATAGTTGGCTTGGTCTAAAGATCTCCTAAATTTTAAAAGTATAGAAGTCACTTTCTGACCTACTGTGAGTGTGCAATCTGAGTTTCCTAATTAGTGAATAATTTTATGTTCAACACACAGCTAGGGCAGTCCTTTGCCTACTGTTTTACAGTCAAAACTTCTTTTATCCCCCTGGATAAAAGATATCTAGGTTATTTTATTAATTATACCTCAAAGGCGTCCCCTTGAGATGTATCTGAATAATTAAAAGGGTTTCCAACTAATAATTAAAGGCTGGCCAGACCATTAACCATTAGTTGGGCTGAGGGGCCAATCACACTGGGTTTATTAGTTACTTACAGTCAAAGACTATTTTATGTAAGGTTATATATATATTTATTAAGAGTTATTGTTATGTTGTTATCAAGGTTGTTATCAACAATATTAACAATTGATTAATTAATGATCATTATTAACTTGGTCTAAAGCCAAGTGTATTTATACCTCTTGGGACAGTACAAATAATGTGATATGTGCTATTATACTCTCCAATAATATGCTTATCAACTAATTACTAATTCTAAATAAATATTTACATCAGATGAGTAGGTTAATTAATATAAATATAGAAATATGAACAGGAATAATCTTTCATGTGAGGCTGCGCAATGTGCGGCGCAGCCGTTACAATGATGGTCGTTGGTCGTGATGTAATATTTAGCGCATCACATGACTTCCGTAGTGAATTCGTTTTAATTGGCCGGGTAATTGGTAGGTCCAAGATTTACTATCTTACACCACCAAAATCAATTGTACAACAATATCAACAATCTATACTTCTATATCTACTATAGTAAGAGTCACTTATCCCCCAGGGGATAAAATATTTATCTTGTGTCATTTATGTAATTGTCCAATTTTACTTATACTTACTCAAAAATAAACTTTTACAATACAAAAAAATATTCCAATTCCAAAATTTCATTCATAAAATGGTAAAAAATCTAATTCGTTTTATTTTACTTGATTATTCACTTTAAAAGGTACTTTTAATTATAATAAAAGAACCCTCCTTTTACAACTTCCTCAATTAACCCTGAAGTTGCAACCCAAGAATTAAAAGAATCCTTGACGCATATAGAAGTTATCCTCTCTCCCTCTTGATAAATATATTTTTGAAGAGTCTATAGAGATTCCGTATTCCGTACATCTGCGCCTCTGTAGTAAAAAATGCTCTGTATGAAACAAAAATACGGAATTGAAGATCGTACAGACTGGCCTCCACCAATCAGCTTTTCAGAATTCACAAATTCCGTTCCGTACAAAATCAAAAAATATGGAATCGAAGATCGTACAGACTGGCCTCCACCAATCAGCTTTTCAGAATTCACAAAATTCCGTTCCGTACAAAATTAAAAAACGTAGGAAAAAAATGTACGGAGCAAAAAAAAATATTGTACGGAATTGAAAGTCATACGGAATCTCTACTGACTGATTTTTGAATTCCAATTTAAATTCTATTTGAAGTTCATCAAACAATACATATTATTTTACTATTTAAATTTAATAATATATTTTTATTAATAAGTTTTATTTCTGTTAGAAAAACAAATTTGAATAACCTTTTGAAGATAAAGCCATCAAATATGCTAATGCAGCAAAACCACAAAATACAACAAAAAATACAAGATTATGGTATAGTCAGTTTGAAGAATTTGTTAATGATACACGACCTGCTATTGACATTATTTGACTAAAGGGTTTGCATTATAATGTGAATTTATTGTTGTGGTAAAGACAAGAGAAAAGGAATATAAAGTCAGGTTATTGTATAATGGGATTTGTGCCATTAACAAGTTTATCAAGATGTGTTTAAATTTAAATAACCTTTTAATATAAATGAAGACTTTAAATTTGTTGCTGTATGAGGTATTTTACACTCTAGAATGGTAGAACTAAAAGAATTTAGATGATGGCACTCATAATGGAGCTAATCCTTTTAACAGATGAGGAAATGGTTCAAAGTTTTGATCACAAATGCCATCAACACATCAGAAGGTCTATTAAAATGTGTATTCCTTTGGATTGGTTGTTGCACAGCTAAGTGAGGCAGATCATACATTGATATTAAAATAAGTCATTTCAAGGTTGCCTGGTAGCACCAAAAATATTATTAATGGTGGAAGTCATTAAACATTTTATCTTTTGATATTGACTGCCTGAGAGTAGATGTAAATGTCGTGAATGAATAATGAATATAAAGATTAAATTTCTTAAATCAAAAAAGTCTAAAAGAAATGTACAAGCCTAATAAAAATGCTATTTCAATAATAATATTTTCTGTTGTAAAGTTTCAACTTTTCTAATTTTAAATTTAATCCAATTGATTATCAGGGTCTGAATTATTATTATCATTATAGTTAGATTTTTTGTTTAAAAATTCTCTCGTGTATTGATAAAAATAAGTTTATTTTTTTATTTTGGGTGGCTTACTCGGGCATGGAATTCTAATTTAATACTAATCTGTATTTCACAAAACTCAGTCGAGCTTCTCTTCCTAGGAGTCGTTAAACATTTTATCTTTTGGTTTTAAATGCTTGAGAAACAGATGTCAATGCCGTAAATGATATTTTGTTTTTTTGTGGATGCATCAAATCTTAAACGTTATATTTTCTTTATTACCATCATTTTTTTTTCATTACACGTGAAACAATCAATCATTTATACCCAACCGCTTCCTTTCGTTGTTTTCATCGATCATGTATTATATACATCCGTCAAGGAAGGCGAACTATCTATTTCTCGAATGGGTTTGGGCTTTTAATCTTTATTAATGACATCAAGTTTGTTTATTGTTCGTATAACGACTCTTTAATCATTAAAATAAATAAATAAAATTTTTGCACAACAATGTAGGGCATGACCTCGACTCTCGCATTTGAACGTAACGTATAAAGCCAAATCGTAAAATGCCGTTTCGGCGCTACGTGTTTTCGACCCTCGAATTCTAATGCAATGTAAAAAGCAAAACTGACGTGTCAATTTTTTTGTCAATTTTTTGGTTCGCGAGTAGGGTAGCGGGTCTATTTATATGTTTTCGTGGTAATTTATTAGACTACTCGATCAATGCACCATTCAAAGAATATCGTCTGTAACAAACAATCACCTAGTTATTTTGTTGTGTCGCTCTTTTCGAATTATTTAAAGAACGAAAATTCATCATTGATTCATTCCAATGCTTCAACAATAAAGAATTTTAGCATTCTTCTTTTTCTTTATTTACTATTTTTATCACTTTTAAAACTTCAAAATTAAAATTTACAAACATTGCACCTAAACCTATCTCATGTACAATGTAAAAGTCGTTCTACGTGACATCCTATGTGTGTTCCAAATTCAGACACTAAAGTTAGCTCAAACACATTATTAATATGATTGCGTATTACTATTACGCGTAGTTAATTTCAAAGTCAAGACAATTTAATTTTACATTTTATAAAATGTAATAAAAGGATAATTTTAATTTGTAAAAAAGAAGAGGCATTTTTATTTTGAAAGTGAATATGTATACGGAAAAAAATTTAGTTTCATTAGTATAATTAAACTTTCTAATTCAAATTAATACCATTTGTAAACCTCCCATGGTAATTAATTATTCTTCTTGCATCATTGCAATCAATATACATACAATAATGATAATTTGGAACTTTTGATAATCCTATTTTATCATTATCATTATTGCTGGTGCTTTTACTTACGTCAAGTGTTTTTAATTATGTCGAGTAGTTTACTTATTCCAAGGGCTTTTACTTTAGTCAAATCGTCAAAATGGCCCTGGTGAGAAATTACCTTTAGCCGATACTTTAGTTACGTCAATGACTAAAGTCAAAATTTTCGTCATACATCATTAACCTACCTAGTTTGGATTCAAACAATGATGCGCCATTATTTCAATTTAATTCTGAAAGTTTACGAATTCAATCAATGCTGAACCTAATGCAACAAAAACGATGGGTCCCGTTCCAGAAAATAGGCCTGGGAGTTGAAGAGATTCGTGGAAATTTTAAAGGAATAGGACAGCACGACCCTTCTAATGAGATGAGAAAATAGAAATACTTGATTTAGTAGCAGAGGCTAAACATTTGGTAGATGAAAAGAATTCTTGTCAAGCATTCACGAACTAAATCAGATTACAAAGAAGACATTTCAAAATATTTTGGTCAAGAATTATTTTATAATTAATTTATTTAATAGGTGAAATGATGGTGGTGGTAATCTATATTTTTTTTTCGGGAGTTCTATCACTCCACTGTACCAACCACCACATATTAATATATATTTATATATGAAACAAATTCTAAAAACATCAATTTCTTTTAATCATTGATTTTTTTTTTCCTCGTTCAGTAAAGCTTTTATTAGATTTTCAATTCCTTTAAGTTCATTTTTAATTTCCATCTTGTTACTTTCAAGTTGATCTTTGATTACTCTTATATCATTTTCTAATCGTTCGAATTTATTCTCAATATTTATTTGCTTTTCTGGTTTGGCCACTTCGACAAGATTTCTAAGCTTATCGGAAATAAATGGTTTTGGATCTTCGTTACTATCATCAATCTCTATGACTTTTTTCCGAATGTCATCAATCGGCACATTATAAGTTCTAAATAAATAAATATATATATTATATATTAATTAAAAAATATTAAAATACATTAAATTATCCATCAATCATATTTACAATATATCCGGAAACCAATCTTTCCTACGACGATGTTCAGGAAACAAATAGAATAATTCAATCTCAACTATCATCTTTGCTTTTTGAGCCAAGAAAGCTTCACGTTTATTATAAATTTCAATTTCATTGCTAAGTAGACCAATGAATAAATTCATGAGGTATACCACGACTATGAATGAAAATATAACAACTAATATTGCCAGATAAGGATCATTTTGCAATGGCCAAGGTCCGAATGCACTGTTGTCACCTATAAAAAATAAAATAATTAATTATTGTTATTATTATCATAAGTTTTAATGTATAGTAAGTAATTTTAAAATCCAATCAATTAAATCAAAAATTAAAATTACCTGCAAGAAAATTATACATTGCTAGCATTGAAGTAGAAAAACGCGCAAACATGTTGGTTTTATTATCAGGTGGTTGAAGGGCATATGAGTCTTGATTGTATGAATTATTATTTGTAAAATATGTAAAATATTTATCAACAAGATTCCAAGGATTATTAGGATCATCGTTCACGGTAGGCTCATCGATTGTAAAGTATTGACTTGGTCTCAATATTATGTAAAATGCATGTGAAAAACTTAGGATGATTATAAATAGAATCACTAGAAATGAAAAGACATTTTTTGCAACGCCCAATATTATTGTAAAGTATGCTCCAAAATATTTGAAAACTCTTAAAAATAACATAAATTTCAAATCTAATAATAAATTAGACAGTGAAATCAACTGATTAGGTGGTGGTTCTTCATTAATCAACCAAATAATTGAAGTGATGATTGGTAAAGAGTATGCACCAACATCTATTGAATAATTATTACGTTAATATAATTAATAAATTAATAAGGAGACGGATAAATTAAAAAAAACCACTAGCATACCAAAGAAATTCCAAATGTCTCTGGCATATTTTCGGGGGTTGTAAGCAAATTGCCTGATTTCAAAATGAAGGTGGAATATCCCAAGCATGATAGTAATATTTAATAATGAATTCCTAACATCACTTGTAAGTCGATCTGGTCGTGTTGTAGTGGCAACAGCAAAACACAATAAAAATGCTATATAAATAATCCAAATTCCATAATAATATCTGCGTCCAAATTTATTCCACTTAAAATCCAAGATGAGTTCAACACCTTTATGTTTATATAATTCTGGAACATCTAATTCAAAGAATTTACTAATTTTTGGTCTAAAGAATTCTTTCCAAGATGAATAAACATTTCCATAAGTAAATAATCCAGCGTATGGTATTAAAAGTTTTATAACATGAGTTCCTGCATTATTCTTATTAATATCATTTGAAAAACTCCTGTTATTATCAAAATCATCGTCATCGTCATCATTACTAATTTTCTTATAATAATAATTAAAAGAATTAAAAATACTATCAGAAAAAGCCCTAAAACTGCTATTATTAACAATTATTAATTGATAATTGTTATCAGCATTATAAAAACTACAATTATTTTCAATGGGGTCCTTGAAGGGGAACAAAATCATTGAAGTTTGAACAAAGAATTTCAATACTAATCTATGATGATTTTTTTCTAATTTGGGTAATTGAGACATAATTATGTTTAGCAAACCAATATTTGACTGAACATCTTTTTCAAAATGAATAAAACAAGAATCAATAACTTTTTCTACGATAATGCCATTATCATCTTCTAATGCTAATTTCAAAATATCCATTCCATATTTGGTGAAATAATAAAAATTATCATACAACATATAAGAAAGCATTTCTTTGTAAGATTGTTTAGAATTTTCTTTGATAATACCTTTACAATCAAACAAGAATTCTTCGAAATTATCATAACCTTTGAAAGATTTAATTTTTTCCGATATAGCCTTTTCATCATCATCATGTAAATAAACATATTTAATAAACTTCATATAAATCTTCAAACTTTGTTCATGGAATGATAAAATTTGTATATAATTAACCGTTCTTATTATTAAATCGTCGTTATCCAATAATTTAGAACATTTAAATTCAT